TTAAACTCAAATGTGATAAGGTGTCATTTTCAATATGCCAAGGATCCATATTTTGGGGTAGCATGTCCTGATCCCTATCAGAAGTGATCCAGCTAATAAATGAAGACAGAATGATAGTGAGACAGGCTGGGACCTGGGACCCTGTGGTGCAGTGCTTGCACCGGACAAATGTCTCCTCGAGCAACAGAATACAAGAAACTACAAGGAACTAAAAATAACTGCATGCATGAGCAGCTGGGGCAAACTATGAACAACAAGATACAAAAAGGCCAAAACCCAACTGCCACTTCTGAGGTGCCAGAAGCAAAAGCAGGGTACTGTGCATGGTCCCTGCACACAGCACCACTGAGAGGATGAGCAGATCACCTAAGCCACCCCTCTGACCTGACCCACCGATCTGCTCCTATCCTCACCCCACTTAAGGGACCAGCTCACAAGCAAGGGAACCTGTTACTTGTTTTCCGCTCCCTCATGCTGAAGCATGAGTCCCAGTAAAATGTTTCCTGAATTCCTGTCTGGCCTCTTATCAATTTCTGTTGATTAAAGAGTCCAAGAACTCTTTATTGTAAAGTAGGGAATTATAAAGAATTATAATTCATAGAATTATAGAATTATAAAGTATCATAGTAGATAGGTCAGAGAATTGTAAGTATCAACATTTAGTAATCCATAATGCATAAGGGATCCTAGAAAGAGGACTGCTAAAATCTAATGAAAATGCACAAAATCACGAATAAAGCAGTTTTGTAGAAAAATAAAGTCAAATCCAATTCTAATGAAAATTCTAAATCTAAGCACCAATTGACAAGTAAGGTGTTACATGATACCATGGTGGTACAATCAGAAAATCCTGACTGTGGTATATCCTATAGGACATCACGCTGGTTTCTAATAAATACATTGAAAGGAAAAAAAGAAAAGATGGAAGAGGAAACTGTAGATTAAAAAAAGACATTGGAATCATATCAACCAATCACAATGAAGGTCTTGATTCAGGCAAGCAAACTGTTCTAATTAGAAATTATGGAAATTTAAGTACAGGATGGATATTTGATTATATTGAGAACTTTTTGTGCCACAGGTCTCATGATTTGAAAAATGAGAATTGAAAGACAAAACTAATTTGTTACTATTTTAGACAAGGACAGCATAGCGCTCAGGAGTTGGAATGAGGACATGGGTCTGGGTTCCACTGTTAGTTTTTAGACTTACTCTCTGTGTGGTCTTAAACAACTGACAGTGTTTTTAGTCTTCATTTCCCTGTCTGAATCTACCTCTTCATATGATTGTTCTTAAATTGTGTTCTTGTTAACAGTGCTTTGCAAGGCAGCATCCTTTTACTCAGGTAAAGGGCACACCTTTCTCTTCTTCTGACTCTATCTCCTTGTTATTTGTAAGTTGTTTTCCTCCCCTTATAACTTTCAATGGAAATCTAGATAGACATTTTTATTTTATTATTTATTTTTTTATTTTATTTTATTTTTTGCGGTACGCGGGCCTCTCACTGCTGTGGCCTCTCCCGTTGCGGAGCACAGGCTCCGGACGCACAGGCTCAGCGGCCATGGCTCACGGGCTTAGCCGCTCCACAGCATGTGGGATCTTCCCGGACCAGGGCACGAACCCGTGTCCCCTGCATCAGCAGGTGGACTCTCAACCACTGCGCCACCTGGGAAGCCCTAGATGGACATTTTTTAGAGGAGAAAGAAGGGTGAGAAGACACTCTTTTTCAGGGTGTCGTTTTTTGGGGTTTTTTTTTGCTGTACACGGGCCTCTCACTGTTGTGGCCTCTCCTGTTGCGGAGCACAGGCTCAGCGGCCATGGCTCACTGGCCCAGCTGCTCTGCGGCATGTGGGATCTTCCCGGACCGGGGCACGAACCCGTGTCCCCTGCATCAGCAGGCGGACTCCCAACCACTGCGCCACCAGGGAAGCAGCGCGTCGTTTTATTTACTTATTTAAACTTATTTATTTATTTATTTATTTTTGGCTGTGTTGGGTCTTCCTTGCAGTGAGCGGAGCTTCTCTCCGTTGTGGTGCGTGGCCTTCTCATTGTGGTGGCTTCTCTTATTGCGGAGCAGGGACTCTAGGTGCGTGGGCTTCAGTAGTTGTGGCGCAGGGCTTAGTTGCTCCGTGGCATGTGCGATCTTCCCAGACCAGGGCTCAAACCCATGTCCCCTGCATTGGCAGACAGATTCGTAACCACTGCGCCACCAGGGAAGTCCCCCAGGGCGTCACTTTAACTAAAATAAATATAGCATGGGCTGTTATAAAATAATATAGAAAGCAGTTAAGGGAGAATTTGCCGCTAACAAGAACTGAGAATTGCAGGGTAGATTTAACTTAATGTTAATGTATTCTCCTTGTTTGCAGAGCTTTCTAGAAATACACACAGGCATAAGGCACATCCTTCATGATTAGCCTCTCTCTCTTGACTTAGTTCATCAATTGGTGCCGTCAGACTCCTTTGAAAGTCATTGCTTCTGATTAAAAGAAATGAGCTGGTTCTCAGATGGCTTACAGTGCTTGGCAACAAGGTTGGAGAGGCAACTTTGCCGGGCTCCTGAATGTCTGCAGAACAGGTGGGGTGCTCCTTATGAGATGAATAGAAGCCCACATCCCCAGGATGTAACACAGCCACAGCTGTCATTTGAAGCCTGAAATGAGGCTTCTGGAAAGGAAGGTAGCCCTCTGGAAGCCACTCTGGTCCCATGTTTGTGTTTGTGTGTGTCCCTGTGCACACACTCTGTGTATGAACAGGTGAGACGCTCACTTTCCTACATCAGACCCTAGGCTCCCACTTAGCTCTCTACGTCCCTCTCATGCACTTGCAAACATGTCACTGGAAGCAGTGTGAGCCATGCCAAGGGAAGGTGAGGTCTGGTACTAATTAAAAGCCTGCAAACAGAGTAGGGAGATGGAAGGAGAAAGTCTGGTGCTTGACTTTAAGATTCAAGGACTATGTTACCCAGAAAACAGGTCAAGAATGCTTCAACTAAATTGGTGCTGGTCTTTGAGGTGGGTCAACAACTATGTCTACTATCTCCTTTGTTCTGAATTCAGGCAGAGCCATCAATTCAAAGAAATAAAACAAGAGAGGGGATGGATGGCTGTGTAATACAGAAGAAGGGGCACATCCCCTCTGCTTTGCAATGATTCAGTGGAAAATGTAATTATGCTTCATTTGGCAGTTTGCAAGGTAATATTTTTATACTGGAGGCCTTTCAGCATAACTTTTACTAGGAAAAAAGATCTGTTATTCATGATAATTTCAAGTTAACGATAATTAATGTTTTAATAAAGGAAGAAGAAGAGAAGTAGAGGAAAACATGATAAAGAGAAGTGAATGCAGAGACTGAAGCCTCTAGGCTTACCTAGGAAAGGGTAAAATGGAGGTTTCTCATCTTAGTCATTTGCTTTTTCATTATAGATTTTTTTGAAAGCTATAAGTTGTCTGTGTCCCTATTTCTTATTGCGGGCATGGTTTTTGCATATGGAATTGAATTATTAATAAGAATTTGCACTTCTAATGAGCACTCGCTGTCTTCTTTGGGTTAGTACATTTTAATTATTTTTAAAAGAACATTAATCACATGTGCCAAATTACTATCTAGTCTGGTATATTGCTTTAAAAAAAGTTTTTATTTTGAACTAATTTTCGACTTACAGAAAAGTTGCAGGAATAGTACAAAGACAGTTCCTATATATCCCCACTCAGCTGCCTCTAATGTTAACATCTTGCATAACCAGAGTATTAGGATCAAAATCAGGAAATTAACTTTTATACAGTAGTATTAAATGACAAAGCTTATTCAAATAGACAAAACTAGAGATAGTAATAAGGGAAATATCTCATATTTTAAACTAATTGTGAAGAGATATAAAAACAATGTAAAGAGTTCTTTTGCAGGTCCGGGTACTGGTGATGGAATAATTTTAAACTTAGTCAAATTATCTTTCTGATGATAAAGCAATAGAAAGCATTTACAAATGTGTAATATTGCCTAAATAAATAAAATACATCATATTACAAATTTTTAATGCCACTGGGCTGGGAGATCAAAAAAATCTAAAATTATGGGTGTCTGTGACAGAAAAGGATTGGTGGGTAAGTTTCAAAACTACCTTTGAAAGATTCAGGTTCAGATAACTAGTGAAATTATGGTAATTTCAATAAACAATTATTGAAAAATTTCTAGTTGACAGTCATTGGGCTTAAAAATAGAGATTGGGAGCAAAATAAAATGGAAAGCAAAGGAAATATGAAACAGTCATATATCATAAAATAATAAATAAAATAACTCATGTTAAAAACTCCAGAATACACCCACAAAGATTTAGAGCAGTGTGATAAGATACCTTAACAAATGAATGAATACTAAGGAAAGTTTCTATGTAGTATTTACAATCAGATATCAAAAATATAAAGAATTTTAAGCAAATTTAGCCACTAACAGAATTACAAATAGGGTCAATTTCTTTGAAATCTTTAGAAAACATAAATGTAACTATAACAGAGGCCATATTAAAATATTAAAATAAGAAACACTGCAAAAACATAAAAAGCAAGAGTCAAAAACTGGAGTAATAGAAAATAAAATGCATGAATTATATCAATAAATGTAAATGGCTTAAAAAACAAACATTTCCTATTGAATTTAAAAAATCAACAAACTGATAGATACTAAAGGAGAAATAATTAAATGCAGTGTTGAGCCTACATAGGATCATGGAAGTGACATTAGTGGAAAAACTGGTGAAATTCAAATAAGATTTAATGTTTAGTTAATAAATTATACCAATGATAATTTTTTCTGGTTTTGATAACTGTACTCTTTCATGTGTAAGATATTAACATTAGAGGAAGCTGGGTAAAGGATATACAGGGATTCTGTACTATTTTTGCAAACTTTCTGTATGTCTAAAGTTATTTAAAAATTTTAAAAAGTTAAAAATAAAATAAAACCCAACTATATGTTACTTTAAGAAAGCAGACCAGGGACTTCCCTGGTGGTCCAGTGGTTAAGACTCTGCACTTGCACTGCAGGGGGCATGGGTTCGATTCCTGGTCAGGGAATTAAGATCCCCATGCTGTGCCAAAAAAAATAAATAAAATGAAAATAAAAATAATTTTTTAAAAAAGCAGACCAAATCTAAAATACTGCATATGAACGAGGCTTTCCATTTAACAATGGTTGCTGGATCACAACCTTCAATGCATCCTGTTTAAATTACTTTTGAAGTAGGAAAAATGTGAAAGTCTATAAGAAGGCTAATAAATAAGACTGATGACCAATTTATATGTTGGTTTCCACAAATATAAACTGCAAGGAATAAAAGTTATGGAAGTAGAAATTTTATACTTAGAGAGATATAAAGGACACAGCACTAATTATAATATGTTATTCATACTTGCATCCTGATTTTTAAATTAAGTAAACGATAATGGCATTTATGAGATAATTACAACTGAATAATGATTGGATATTTGATGATATTAAGGAATTACTATTAGGTCTAGGTGTAATAATAGTGCTGTGGTTATATTAACAAAAACAAGAACAGCAACAACATAATAAGGCTTTACTTTTAGAGGTCCACACTAAAATATATATGGATGAAATGGAAAACAATTCTTAAGGGTAGGAATTCTGGCTATATGAAAAACCAAACTTTAATAGAATTTTCCTTTTTCTCCCTTCTTGTTAAAAATACAAAAATGCTGGGCAATATCATATGATACTCACTAAAGGAACTACTAAAAGGTGTACTATAATTTAAAACATTAAAACTCGGAAGGAGTATGGTTGACAAAGTAATAGAGGACAAATAAGTTAGTCATCGTGGTGGTAAAGAATACTGGACTGCTGTCACTGTTAATAATGGTGATGACAATGGTGACTAACTTGGAGGTCCTTTACAAAAAAAGTGGAACTAAATATTATACAAAAAATTATGGAAAGAGAAATGGTCACAAGTAGAGTGCTCCAAGTTCCTATACTGCTTGGAAGGATAATAAAGACACTAATTAACTGGGAATTTTAGGTTTGGACTTAATATCATATGTAAACTTCAAAGGTGTAAAAGTAATGAAAAATAGTAAAAATATAATTTAAACTTCAAAATCCCTAGAGGAAAACAGGGAAATAAAACAAAATAATCAAATAGGAGGAGAAAAAAAGGTAAAGAAAGAAATAAACACAGAAGTATGGCAAATAGAAATCTTAAAATATCATGGTATAAATCCCTCCATATATGTCAGTGTACTAGATATTGTTGTGCAACACTGCCCTTGAACACTGGCTTAAAGCAACCACCATTAATTTGGTCCTGCAGGTGGGCAATTTAGGCTGGGCTCAGCTGGCTGTTCTGGTCTTGGTCCAGCTCCCTCACACATCTGCAGTAAGCTGAGAGCGGGCAGGTGATTCTATTCTGGGGTCTGGGCTGGCTGTCATTTGGTGTGCATTGGCTCTCCTCCACATGGTTTCTTTTCCTCTAGTAGGTAATTTGTGCTTGGTTAGACGGAAGAGCCAGATTTCCAGCAAAGTGTGTGAAACGATGCTGTGCCTATTGAGGCCGAGGCTGGGAACTGGCTGAGGAATGGTCCTGCTGCATTCTATTGGTCACAGCAAATCAGAGACCAGCCCAGGTTGAGGGGACAGGGGAACAGACTCTTTTCTCTTCATGGGAGAAGAGACACAGTCACAATGCAAAGGGTGTGGAAACAGGGTAGGGAGAGTATTTAGGGATAAGTACTAAATAAGCAGTAAATATAAATGGATAGAACTCTCTCACTGAATATTAGAGATTTGTGTATCATAAATGTTAAAACAGCCAGCTTCTTAATATATATGAGACTAAACTGAGATAAGATTAAACAAAAAAATTAACCATGTAATGCAAAACGACAAGCAATGCAAAAAATTACTAATCAGAGGAAGCTGTTGAGGAAAAAAAAGTATCTATGGTAGCAAGAATTTTTAGAATATGAGAGCCATTGTTTAATCATAAAAGGAAAAATTCACCAGAAATACATTATAATTTTGAGTCCATATACACCTAACATTGGAAAAATCAAGATATATAATGTGAAAATTAACAGAATTAACTGGTAATTAAAGTGACAGAAAAACTGATAGAAAAATTTGGATGACTAACAGTAGAATTCAAAACAGAAAATATACCTTCTGAAGCACCAGATATGGTAAGAGAAAAGTAAATAAATCCCCCACTAAAAGAGCCAGAATTCAGGGGAGCCTCAAAGGAAACAAGATGGCAAAAGCAAAGCAAAATGTACGTGTTTTAACACATGTAAAGAAGTTCATCTTTCTTATTAAGTGACAGATACTTTGAATGGGTCAAAAACAAAATTGAATTATATCTTATGCAATATAAATAGACCCTAAACCAAGTGTAATGATAAGGTAAAAATTAAAGATATAAGGAGAGGTATGTCAACATGTAAATATAGCATTATATCATATTATTTTCAGATAAGGTAGAATCCAAGGCAAAATGTTGCAACTTCCTGGATTATTGATGTGTTGAATAATTTTGCATAAAAGTATTTTCAGAAACATAATAAAAGTGGGAAATTTTAAAAGACCATTCTGATGTTGACAGATGATGGAATAACAACTCAGCAAATACAGACCTTAAGAATATAAATTATGACATATCTACCTTCATTTATATGTGATATGCACAGGCTCTATGCAGAAGCCAGTATAATCTGCAGTCTTGTTAAAAACCAAGTATCCTCAATGTGATAACTGAGCAAAAGAGAGCAGACTTGCCAATTCAGGCTGGGAGTTTTCTGATGGGATTAAGATAATAACTTAACCATAAATTTCAACAATAGAGCAGACTCCAAAACTGGTGATACATGCCTCACTTCTCAACTTTTGCGGAAGGCTGTATCTGTATTGTGGCAAGGATCATTCTAGATGAGTGCTTCTTCACCGAGTCATTTTCTTCCTTTCATGGGATATGTGGCAATGTCTGGAGACATTTTTGGAAGTCACAATAGGGTGAAGGGGCTGGCTGCTACTGGCATCTAGTGGGTAGAGGCCACAGATGTTGCTAAACATCCTACTACGCAAAGGACAGCCCCCTACAACAAAGAACTATATGGCCCCAAATGTCAATAGGGTCAAGGTTGAGAAACCCTGATCTAAACCAAAGTACTTAAAAGACCTGGCATAATTTGGAATCTAATAGTATCAAATGGAAAGGATTTTGTATAAGGCAGTGATGCTGAGAGGGGTTCACTATGCAGTTTTACTAACTTCAGGCACTTTTGAAAGCAGATTATCAAGCAACCTGCTCATGAAAAATGAATTTCCTCTGTGAAGACTACTCAATTTATTCTATTTGCCTATTCTATCTGAGTGTGAAAGAACTTAAGAGGGTTTTGATCAAAGAGTATGAACCTTCAAAAATTGAATGTCAGTCAAGTGGAGAGGAAAGTCTTAATAACATCTATAGCAGTTCCCACTTAAAAATACACTTTTAGAACACATTTGTTCATTCACCTATTCAGTATTTATGTTTCAAATTTCTACTGTATTCACAGCCACATCTTTTGATGATAGACATAATTAAGCTGAGACCTTTTTCCTCAGCTAAGTGAGAACTGGGAGAAATAGGGACAAAAATGTTGGCTGGGTCACTAAGCTAATTCCAAAAGCTTCTTAAACTCGAGATGAACCTGCAGTACAAGGTTGAAATGAACACACCAATAAGGACCCAACAAGCCTGGATAGCCAAGAATTGAAAATTCAAACACAGGGAAAGAAAATCATTCATGTAAAGCATTTTCTTAATATCACCTATCATAAAGAGTCTCTAATTTTAGCCTTACAGCAACTGAACAATTTAGCTGTTATTATTCCATTTGCAAATGAGGAACTTGAGACACAGTGACTTGGAGTCACCTGCCTTTATTCACAGAACTTGGAGGGTGGTGTAGGGATCTGAATCCTAGGATCAGTGATTTGCCTACTCCACCAAGGTCTGCATGATCTGCTCAGGAAAGGAGTACCTCTCTCCATACTTGCACCCCTCCTCTACATGCAAGTGCAGACCATGAAGAACAGGGACCTGGGACCTGTAAGAGGAAGGCAGAAGATACAGGATCTGAATTATCTGAGTTTGAGGAGAACCTGTCTATTCTGTGATGACAGACTTTCTTGTCCTCTCCACACCTTAGTATTTCCTTTGTACTTTGTTTGTCCCATGAATTATTCAGAAGTTTTCAAATTCCAAATATTAAGTTTTACCTTTTAGTTGACTTCTAATTTAATTGCAGCACTGCCAGAGAATGTGACTTGTGTCATACATTCTTTAAAACCTATTGCGGGTTGATTTATGAACTAGTATATGATCAATTTCTGTAAACATTACATGTACACTTCAGAATAATCTGTAGCTTTAATTGTTGGGTATATATGTCCGTTATGTGATTTTCATGTGCGTAGTTCACCTATCAATAATTTAAAATGTGGTGAAATCTACATGGTAGAGGTATGTTTCTCTAGTTAAATGATTCTTTTCCTTTATATGTTATGGGAATAATTTATATAAATTTTTAGAATTGTTTTATGTTCTTAGTGAATTGAACATTTTAATCATAGTACAGTGTGTCAGCCATTAAAATGGGTCTCTCGGGTCTCTAGCTGTAAAGAGCATAATTGACCCATCACCCCAACTACTGGGTCCTGAAATTCATTACTGTGTTCATGTGGAAGCCACTTGTTTCATGGGCTGCTCTCAGCCAAAGACTGAGTGTGGCAGCCCTGTTCTTGGAAGACATGGGATTCCTCTAAAAGGTAACTTTGACTCAGGGACTCCCCATCAGATTTATCAAACTTTGCTGAGAACTGCACCACATTCTAAGACTTTCCCTTTGGTTTTCTGCCAACATCTGTATGTAGATTTTTCGTATTTTTCCTGCTTGGTGTTCTCTGAGCTTCCTGGACCTATGGTTTGGTGTCTGTCATTAGTTTTGGAAAATTCATGGACATTATTATTTCAAATACATCCTCTCTGTTGTTTTTTTCTCCTCCTTTGGTATTC